CCCCCGGCCCCGGGGCTGGGCTGTGTCCCCCCCCTACCCGCTGCCAGGGAATTTTTCCCACGACACCCCCTGTGCCCCCGCTCCGTTGTCACTCCGTGTGTCATTCCCTGCCTTCCTCCCGCTCTCCTCTGCCTCCCGCATCACAGAAACGCTTCCCTGCCTCCCGGAGCCTTCCCCAAGCCCTGTCACAGAACCAGAGAAGTTCTGCGTCTCCCGAGGAGCCCGCCCCGTCCCGCACACCCTGCGCGGGGCATCCCGGCCCGCACCCCGCCCAGCAGCAGCCCCGGCTCCCGCACCCTCCTGCAGCACCTGCCGGGCCCCCCAGCTCCCTCACACTGCCCCGCAGCACGGCCAGAAGCTCTGAAAGGTCTCGGTTGGGGAGTCAAAGTCATTTCTCTTTTACTACCAGGTCCACACTCGCCTCCTGCTCTTGAAACACGACCAAGACGCTCATGCCCTCTCAGCGGGACATCAGCCACCTTAGCACGTGTCCTGCTGTTCCCTTGATGCCAAAGCGACTTATCCAATCCCCCTGGCTGAAACCCTCTTTTCCAAATCCCTCCTGCAAATTCAGGTCATTTCTATAGTTCTCATCTTTGCTAAAAACCCACATATTGTTCTTTTTCTGATCCCCTGCTGCAGGTTATTTCTCTCTGCAGACTTCCCCAAACACCCTCTGCTCCAACCCGCTCCAAACAGGACATGGCAAATTGCAATTTCCCTCTCCCTTTTATTGGTGTGACATGGAAAGTAGCTTTCTCAAATTTCCCCAGGTGGGAATATCACAGAGGTGGTATTTTGATGCATTTCAGGATAAGAAGACGTTTGGGATAAGGTTTTTTTTTCTTCTGAACTGGATCTCTGTGGTAGCCAGCAAGTTTTGCTCCCACTTGCCACCCAAGGGCAGGCATCATAAAAATAATGCAGATCCATCAGGGAGGGAACCTTGGCAAAGTGTCAAGGCAAAGCAAAATTCACTAGTGCAAATTCCTTATCCCTAAGCCAAAAGAACATTTCAGTATTTACTCAGCACTTCAAGGAGTTTTGCAAGACACTCGTTTTAGAAAAAGGGAAGCAGATCTTTTTACAACAGGGCGGGGAATATCCTGTGTTAAGGTTGGGGGTTTTTTAGCTTTTTAGCCTGTTTGTACTCTTGGGAAAAGAAGGGAATCCAGCAAATTTCCTAGTTGCTGTTAGAAAGTACTCAGGGGCCTGCAGTAATAATAACAATAAAGTCGTGGGCTGAAGTTCCAGGGCATGAAAGTTGAAGTCGAGCGACTGTGTCCAGGCTG